AAAAAAAAAAAAAAAAAGAAGAAGAAGAATAGAGAATAAATTCAGAACAAAGTTAAAATAAAACAAGGGAAAAGAGCAAATGGAAAGTTTTTAGAACACCTAAAAAAAAAAATACAAAGGTGCTCTGGTGATGCAGTGGTTAAAGCACTTGGCTGCTAACCAAAAGGTCAGCAGTTCGAATTCACCAGCCACTTCATGGGAGAAAGATGTCACAGTCTGCTTCCACAAAGACTTACAGCCTTAGAAACCCTATGGGGCAGTTCTACTCTGCCCTCTAGGGTCGCTATTAGTAGATGACCATGGGGTAAAAAAGTACAGAAATGAGCTACTTCCCATCACACTCTCTTCAAAACTGAAAGGGCCACCCACACTCCAGTCCCAGGACACAGAGTTTGTAAAGTCCTTCATGATAAAAGGAAGCAAGTCACCCACTCAAGTACAGATAACAAGAAATGGGCTCTCCTGTTCCTAACTGTTCCCTTCCTTCACTGTGTTTCCACTCTGGTGGCGTAGTGCCTAAGGCATTTGACTGCTAACCAGAAAGCTGGCGGTTCAAACCCACCAGCCACTCCTTGAAAAGGACATTCTATTTCCATAGAGATACCTCCTTGCAAACCAATTCAACTCCAAGCAGTGAGGGGTTTTTTTTGTTTGTTTTGTTTTTAACTGTTGTAGAAGTCAGATCCAAACACAAAACCATTAGATTGGGAGTGTAGCTTCTGTCCCTCAAAACCACATACCAAACACAGAGAATAAAATGCTTTTGAACGTAGAATTAAAATAAGTCCAAATGTGATAACAGTACCCCCAAGAGAAAATGCAAAGTACAATCTACTACACATACCTCTTCCTTTTGAGATGAGGTGTTCTTGAAAACCAAAATATAAGCTTGCTTTTACAATCTGTTTAAGATGAATAAAACTCTACCTTTGATATCCTTCTTAATTTGCTTGCTTTTAAGCTTCCCTTCTGTTTTCTAGCACAAATTAGTTTGTACTTCTGAAATGAAGATCCCTGGATAATTAACCCATAATAGGCAATAACCACCTTGGACATCGACGAGAACAGCAGCAATATTAAAGCACCGTGTTTGCAACAAGTTTTCATGAAAGAGTTAATTATGAGCATCTGCATCCCAGAAGGGTAGGTATATAGAAGCAACCCCTCTCTCCTTTTAATGCCAATTCACTAGTGTGAACATGGGGTAGGAGAAGAGGGATTGGGCAATATACTGAATACTGTCACACTAAGAGAACAGGCGACCGAAGTCCCCAAATTCACCACGCAAGCCAATTAAGGCTAGATTCAAAATGTAATTTACCAGAACCTGTCTCCCAGTCTCCTAACGGTCAGGCCCTTGCTTGGGGAGAAGGGGGAGTTGGTGGTAAAAGTTTACCTTAGAAGGCTGCACTGAACAGTCAGGCCTTTCAGAGCTACCCAAGGCTCTGGCCCTGAGACCGAGGCTGAGCGGGGCTAGAGAGGTGCGCGGGGGGTAGTTTCGCAGCGCCACAGGTTCCTCCGTTCGGAGCTGGGCCCGGCTCCCACAGGTGGGCGGCGCTAAGCCTCCCGGACTCTGGCAAGAAGAGAGGGGGAAACGGTTCCCCCAGGAACTCGGGGGTCTGGGGGAGCCCTGGGGCTGAAGGGTGGCTTTGCCTTAAGACCGCAACGTAAAGGGAAGCTTCAGGATTGTCAATTGCTTCATAGTCCTTCCCTCCACTGGGCGGTTACTGGCTTGCGGCTAGAGTCCCGTGGAGAGACGGGCCGTGTGCACCTCCTACCATCATCCCCGCAAGCACCAGCCTCCTCCCCGGGCGCGGTTAATCCGCACGGCCGCGGACCGCCCGCTAGTCGGCTGCATGCGCCCTGTCACGTACATGCCTGCACGACCACACGCGGCGGGGGGAAGGGCGCCCGAGGACCCGAGGAGCTCTAGCCCCTTTCCGGCTGTTTCTCGCCCCGGCCTGACCCAATTCCCCTTCGACTCACTCCCGCAACCCCTTACCCGTGTTCGCCTTGATGTTCTCCCGCAAAAAGTGGCCGCTAGAGAGATGCTGGAGGCCGAAGTTCTGGGCAATCCTCTGGCACACGGTGCCCTTCCCCGAGCCGGGCGGCCCAAGAATGACCGCGCGCAGGAGTTTGGAAGCCATTGCATTCACGAGGAGGCGGACGACCAAAAAGACGGCGACCCCAGAGGGAGCCCCGGGAACTTTGTTTCTTCTTCCTCTGTCCCTGACACCTTCCGCTCCCGCGTGGACTTGCCAGCCACCCTGAAGGGGAAAGGAAAGACTTTTGAGACAACCCCTCCCTTTAGCCCCGCGCCCAGGCGGACTTAAGGCGGAGTAGCGCGCCACGCTACACCTCCCCGCCCTCATCAGCCTCCTCGCCCCCACGCAGCGATTCTGCAGCACTCCAGAGCCCCCGCCCCTAGTGTGGTCAGTCTGCGGGGGCAGAGGTCAGCCCCGCCAGCGCCAAATCGATCCCTTCCTCTATCTTGCACCCGCCCCTGCGTTGAGGAGGGGGCCCGGAGGCTGGACATCCCCTCGCCAGTCTCCTCTGAGCCAATAAAACCAGGAAAGGGGGTGAGTGTAAGCACGCAACCCACCGCCCCACGCACCAACCAGCCTGTGGGCTGAGCCTCTGCCCGGGTTCCCGCACGTGGGCAGCGTTTAGTTCGCACCACGGCCCCTCCCCCGCGGCTGTCACATCCTCCAGATTCACAGCGGACGCCGCTGCCAGCCGGCTGCGTGGACTCGTTGGGGCCCAGAGGGAGGTCGAGCGCCCACCTCTGCCAAGTACTGCCGAGATGCCCTCCCCCTCCGCGGGGCTCGCGAGTAGCCGGAGCTCGGCGCCTCTCTACAAAGAGCAGTCAAATAAACACACACCTCGGCTGGGAAGCGGCGCGCCGAGTGGCTTCCAGCCCAGATCCCGCTGGGCGGCGCCGCCTCCGCCCGCCCCCACTCCGCGCCCTGGCCGGCCGCGCGGGACTCGCGCCTTACGTAACCCCGGAGACCAGATCCGCGCTAGCTGCGGGCCCGCGTCCCCTCCCCTACCCGCGGCTCTGCTCCCTAACCCGCCCTCCCTGACCCACGTGCTCCCCAGGACCCAGTGGGGTCTGCGGGGCGAGGGGCAGAGGAGAAGACGCAGAGGAGGAAAACTCCTTTTTTGGGGTCACTATGAATTGGAATCGACTGGACGACAATGGAGGGACCAGGTATACTGGTAATGGGAAAGAAATATACAACTTGTTGAGCTCCTACTGTGAGTCAGTTTCGGTAAAAGGTGATTTTATGATGTGACAATCATTCAAGCTTAGGGTAGTTACAGATGAAACGATGCTCAGAATACGGCCATTCATTCATTGATTGATTCATTCAACAAATGTTTATTGAACTCCTGCCTCTTGCCAGACACCATTCTAGGCGATTGGGATATAGTGGTGAACTACAGAGAAAGACGCCCGCCCTCGTAAGGGCTGCATTCTGGTGGGCCTTTCAAAACCACGTCAACATCCGAAGCCCAGCTCCTAGAAGACCAAGAGAGCCAGGACAGCTGCTCCCCTGCACTGAAGATCTTGTAATAGACTTATTCCAACTTGTTCAGCGACCAGATGTAGACCCTGTCGTGCAACTCACCAAATCCAACCTGGTGCTCTATGTCCTCCCTCCTCCCCTTCACATCCCAATTCATGTTCTTGTGAACCTTTTCCCACCCTAGCTAGTGTGATAACCCATACATAGCCTCCTGCTTCCTGGCCAGTCTACCTGCCAGAGACATTGCTAAAGTGCAAATCAATTTCCATTAGTTTGGAGCCTCGGGTGTTATCTTCCTTTAAATAAAGTAAAAAAAAAAAGTTTTCAGCAGGATCACACAGGTGCTTTCTACTCACCTTGTATTTTGCCAGCCCTCTCTCCTTTTAGCTCCTTCCACAGGCCTCCTGCCTTCCGGAAATCCAGTACAGAATCTGAGCACTACTTCTCACAAAGTATGAGAAGTGGAGGGACATAGATAATGGGGCCGTGTAGAGAGGAACCTGTTAATTGATTCCAGGCTGCTCTGTCTGTGTTGTGGAGAGGAGCAGAGCTTGACATAGTATCTGGTTGCCCAGCCCTTCAGCCTGACAGCCTCCTTCAAGCACAGAATGGTCCAGATAGTGCCTAGTCTCTGGCTACCTGGAAGCATGCTCAACCCCAAGTCCCCAGCAGGCTCATTTACCTGCTTGTCAAAGCCCCAGGCTAAATAGAGCACACCCCAAATTCTCTAAATAATCTCAAAGAGTGTGCTGTAAACCTCAGAAGGTTTTTATACTGAGCCTTCAGCCAGTCCCCTGGGAGCAAAGAAGAAGAGCTTCTGTAAGGGGAACTTAAAGCTCCCTCTTTTCCTTCTACAACACCTGCTATAATATATAGCAGATACTTCTGGACAGTGGTTCTCAACCCTGAGCATGCACCAAAACCCCACAGAAGGCTTGTTAAAACAGATCATTGAGTTCCCAATCCCACATTTCTGATTTAGTGGGTCTGGTGTGGGGCTTGAGAATTTGCATTTCTAACATTCCCACAGTGCAAACTGCTCTACTGCTAGCCTAAAGGTTGGCAGTTCCAACCTACCCAGCTGTACCATGGAAGAAAAGGCCTAGCAATCTGCTTCTGTTATGATTACAGCCAAGAACCATTATTGAACATTTTGATCAAAGATTCTGTAGAAGAAGCCTGATCAAAAGAGAGAAAATGCAGAACAATTTTAAGTTCTCATGGCCTTGAGACTTTCTGGAGCCATGGAAGCTGGATAAACCCCTGAAACTACTGTTCTGAGATAATCTTTAAACCTTAAACTAAAAATATTCCCCAAAGCCTTCTTAAAACCAAACAGTAGTTTAGCTTAACTAGCAAAAAAATGTCTGCCATGAGCATAATGCTCTTTAAAGAACTATCTATATGGGATCAAGGGAGCTCTCATGCCTAAGGCTTTTGACTGCTAACCAGAATGCTGGTGGTTCAAACCCACCAGCTATCCCCTGAATGGAAGACTGGGCAATATACTTCCATAGTGATACTGCCTTGAAAACCCAAGGAGGGGACACTATGAGTCGAATCTGACTTGATGGCAGTGAGTGTGGTTTGGTTTGATATGGATGGGATCAAATTGACAACAGCTCAGAAGATAAGATAGGACTTAGGGGACAGTGAGTTTATGTTAATGGGGGGGGAACACTCAGAAAATGATAGTGAGAATGGTTGCACAACTCACAGAAGGCACTAAATTGTATATGTAGAAACTTAAATTGGTATACGTTTTTCTGTGTATATTCTCAACAACAAAATAACTTAAAAAAAAAAAGGAGTATAGCCAAGAAAACTTTATGGAGCTGTTCTACTGTATCATACGTAGGCTTGTTGTGAGTCAAAATCCACTCTTCCACAACTAACAACATCAAATTTCCAGGTGATGCCAAGTCTGCTGATCTTGAGACCATACTTTGAAAACCACTGCTGTAATGAAAAGAACGTTAAATTGAGACAAGAGAGATGTGTGGTCTCTTGATTCCTCTGCCCACTGTGTGACCCTTAAATCATGCCCTTCACTCATGCCTTTCTAAAATGGGGAGGTTGGATTTAGAACATCCCTATGGTTCCTTTTTATCTACCAAAAACTGATTCTGTAAGTACCCACAAGAAAAACAGCTACTCACTGCCCACAAGCTACATGACCTGTCTTGCCCTATCAACTGGTTCTTTTGCGTACATTGGAAATGCCTCTACCAACATCAGTTTGTAGAGTCAACAGTGCTAAACACACATATGGTCCTAGGACTTTATATTTTACTTAGCTTTTTTAGGAGCTTAGATTATGAAACAGAAAAAGGATTTGTAACACAGGCAAAGTCATTAGAGAAAAGCAGCTGAGACTGGAACCTAAAATTTCACAAAAGAGTCTACAACTGAGCATCCCCGTGTGCAGCCACCTCAGGATCCCAAAGATCATTGACAGAAGGGCAGCAGAACAAGAAGAAACAGAATTTAGAATCAGACAGACCTGGGATCAAATTTCAACAGCAACATTTATTAACTCCGTAAGCCTTTTGATCTCTTTGAGCCTTAGCTTGCTTATCTGTGAAAGGGAGATAATACCCACCTTATGGGCTTCAGATGAGGCTTAAATGAGATAATGTATACAAAGGACTTAATACAATGTTCAATATATAATAAGGAGCTCTGGTGGCATAGTGCTGAAGGCATTTGACTGCTAACCAGGAGGCTGGTGGTTCAAACCCACCAGCCACTTCTTGGAAGGAAGGTTGGGCAATCTACTTCCATGGTAATACTACCTCAGAAACCCAAGGAGGGGTCACTATGACTGGGATCCAACTCAATGGCACTGAGTTTGTTTTTTTTTGTTGTTGTTGTTCTGGTGGGGTAGTGATTAAGGCATTTGGCTGCTAAAAAATAAATAAATAAATAAAAGGTCGGTACATTGAACCCACCAGCCACTCTGTAGAAGATAGATGAAGCAGTCAGCTTCTATAAAGATTTACAGCCTTGGAAACCAACGGGGTTCACTGTGAGTAGTAATTGACTCAGTGGCAGTGAGTGTGGATTGTTTTGGTTGGCTATATAATAAATATACAATCATGAACATCATCCACACCATTATTAATCATGGGCCAATTATTTAGCCTTCCTGATCTCAATTCCTGAATGATGAAGAATAAATGAGATAATATAACAAAACACATAGCAGGTTCTCTGGCACTTGGAAGGTAATAAATAATAGGTCTTCTTACTGGAAGAAGTCCTGGTGGTGCCATAATTAAGACCTTGGCTGCTAGCTGAAAGGTTGGCAGTTTGAATCCACTCAGCCCCTATAAAGATTACAACCTAGGAAACCCTATGGGCAGTTCACTTGTCATATAGAGTTACTGTGAGTCAGAATTGACTCAATGGCACACAACAACAACAACGTTATTATTAGAGGATCTGTGAAAATTAGGGAAACCCTTAGTGAGATGGATTGACACAATAACCTCAATAATGGGCTCAAATACATTACAGATAATGGAGGTGGTGCAGGACCAGGCAACATTTTGTTATACATAAGGTCACCATGAGTCAGAGCTGACTCCACAGCAAGTAACAACAATTACATTCTTATCACAGAGGGCAGTGATAGTTCAGTGCAGTATGTTCACCTGCCACACAAGTTCCATTCGCAGCCAATGGCCCTTATGTGCAGACACCACCCATCTGTCAGTGGAAGCTTGAGTTTTGCCTTGATGCTGAACAGGTTTCAGTGGAGTTTTTAGACTATGATGGACTA